ATATATCCTCTCCACCATTGTAAAAAGGGTTACGATCGAAAGAAAAGCGAGACCATTTATTATTTACTTTTTTTTAAAGATAAAAAGCAGCAAAAGAATCACATGCATCCCTTAAGATCTTCTTGAAATAACAAGCTTTTAAATAACTTTTCCTTAACTAGAAGTCGCTGAATTATTATTATTTTTTCCCCCTGCTACGGATGGAGGTGGAGGAACTGCCCAACACGTATCTCTATTTCTACCTATTCCGATCTATACACGTAGAAATGTTGAAAACTTAAGATTAAGGATCTCTTTGGCTAAAATTTTGGCATTAAATTAAAAAAAAAGAGAGAGAGAGAGAGAGGCACAGTCCTCATTCTGCTGGGCTGCACAGTAAGACAACCCAGAAATTTCACCTCCAGGGTTAAAGTTCCTCAAAAAGTCCCTGGGAAAATTCCTTAAGGCGACATGTTTTCTATTTCACCTCAGCGGGATATAGGTGATTAAAAACCTGGTACAGAACAATCCCAAGGACGTTCTAAATCAGATCTCATGTCACATCTTAAGCTGCATCTTAAAACTCTTCCAAGAATGCATATTAGTTATCTGTTTTGCATACAAAGAAAAAAAAATATGATATATCCGAACTCTTCCTTTAAAAGCATCATAATTTGTAGGAGTCATCTAATTCGAGTTTTTTTTTTTTTTGTTCTTTCCCTCCAACCCCAGAAGAAAACTGGGGGTTTAGTTCACCAAACGTGGCAGGAGACAAAATTTGTTTTCATTGCATCAAGTAAACATTTAGTGCAGAAAAATTGCATCAGATTCCCCAACCCCCAATTATTTTAGGTGTGGCAAAAACAACAATAACACTTAAACCCAGCCTCCACTCACGCTCAGCACTCGGTAAAATTCAAAAGGTCTTATCAAGTAATTAAAGTGTATGTAGTGCAAATATATATATACATATACACATATATATGATCACCAAGTCTTTAGGTTGCTTTGTGCCTCGTTTCTAACGTCGGATGCCTGAAATTATGGACATGTTGAGCATGGTGGGCTATCCCAAGCTAACTAAAAATCCATGTATTTTATTTTATATATACACCTATACATGAGCTCTGGGTGAGTCTGTGTCCACCCATATCCTTGCCTTTTTCCCTTTTTTTTTTTTTTTTTTGTCCCCCAGAAGCAAAATAAAAACACAGGAACGCGACTCTCAATACGCGGCACGCAGAGACAGATGGGAAAGAAAGGGAAAAAAATACGTATACACACACACACATATATATAGGTATATATATATATAGGTATGTATATATAGAGAGAGAGCCCTGCTTTCAGATGCCCAAAGATGAGGAACTTGTGCTTCTAAGATGTGCAGTTCCCGCTGAGCGCTTTTCAAAAGCTCTTTCTCTGTCCAGCTCCACAAAGCCAAACTGTTTGCATTTATACCGTAACTTCCAAGGCCAAGCAAGAGGAGAGGACTAACGCTAGTGCCGCCTAGGGGTGTGTGTGTGTGTGTGTGTGTGTGTGTAGTTGTGTTTGTGCCTCTGCCACTGGCTCCAAGTCCTGCAAGGTTCAGCTCCAGAGGATTTCCAGCGGTGCCATCCACAGATGGCGAGGGCCAAGTTTTCTTGTACCCCCCCTCTCTCTCCCTCCTTCCCCCCTTTCTCTCTCTCTCTCTCTCTCTCTCTCTCACACACACACACACACAAACAACCATATACACGCACACTCACACTCTCCACCGTTTCGTGCTTTTCCGTCCTGATAAGCGGCAGCAACTCAAGGCACGCTGAGCGAATTGTGTAGTAGCCTTATGGTCAGTGGGTATTGCTCACTGGGGGAGGTCGAAGGTCTTGGTCTGAAGGGTGGGCCGGGCCGGGCCGTAGAGCGTAACGGATGCGATGTGGTTATTCTGCATCACCTGCGGAGGAGAGACAGCCAACAGATTCAAAATGGCAGCCAAAGGCGATCGGGAGCCAGAGAGAAGGCGCCACCTGGAGGTCGGGCCAGAAGGCCCCAGGGAAGGGCTGGCTCAGGGGGGGGGCATCAGTCCTGTGAGGTCATCCAGACAGGAAGCGTACCCGAATGAACTGCAGGCAGTCCTCATTTAACGCTCATTCGTTCAGGGACTGATTGAAGTTTCGATGGGGATGCACAAGTGTGTCTGACCCAGTTCCCCAAACACGACAACCCCTCTGAAGTTCAATAATTGATTCCTTGAATTAGGAGCCCCAGTTTCTCTCTCACCACAGGCTAACTAGTTCATCCGACAGGGTGATGAATAGTTGTCTGCCACATCTATTCAACTCTGCCCCCTGCCTTTTATCCCCAGAGCTAGAGTGGGGCTTCACTAGCAGCAGAGGCTCTTCCGTCCCAGGGACCGGCCCACAGATTTCCACTGCTCTCCTCTCCTCTGCCTTCTGTGCATCCGCACGTCAGGCACTGAACCCAGCTGTTCCTCTTCTTCTTCATCAGCCACCTCCAGACCTGGGGGCTGTTAACTCTCCATCTGAGGGCTGACGGATGGCCCAGGCGCTCTCTCTCTCTCTCTCTGTCTCTCTCTCTCTCTGCCAGCCCCATTCCCTCTTCCCTCTCAGAGCTCTTAGGTTTCCCTAATGCTGACCCTGACTCCCACGCCTCCTCCTCCTCCTCCTCTGATTTGGCTGCTAGAGGGGCTGGCAGCTGACCAGACATGACAAAGTGGCACATATCAGATCCTTGAAGTTCTGGCTGTGCCAGCATCCCCGAGACCACATGATCGCAATCTGGATGCTTGACAACCAGCTCATAATGGTCCTATGGTCATGTGAATGTTCCAATAAAGAAGAATATTTCTGGTTCAGGGTTGCTTTCTTGTGTATGTTGTTTGCAGCCTTCCCTGCTGTCTTCCCACAAGCAACTCAACAGGAAAGACAGCAAGGAAGGTTGCAAATTGATCCGCTAAATTGCTCCAGATCTTCATCTACCATCAGCAGTAGCTACCCTCTTTGGCCACCCACATGCCCTCTCCAACCCAGTAGCAGCCACTCACCTGCCTGCTGGGCTGCTTCTAAGCTTGTGAGAAGATGGCAGGGAGGGCTGCAAATGAACGTTCGTATGACCTGCGACTTTCTCAATGACCCATAATCCTTGTTTAGTGAATGCCATCACTTAACAATGGGAATTATCAATTACCCTTGTTAACCAAAGACCACCTGTAATTCTACTTTATTGTAACATTATATTAATAAACTCTTGCAAGTCTGAGAATAAGTTTCTCCCCTGTTGCCTTTACAGACCTGGAAACTAGGGAGGGTCCCTTCCCCAGATATTTACCCACCCACCCCATTCATCCACATTACTTCTGAGGGTTCAGCTGCCTCTTATCTGAGCATTCCCCTGGCTGTGGCTCTTCCCTGTCTCCCAAGGCCATTCACACATACCACCATAGAACAAGTCATCATAGAACAACTTTATCCCTGGGCGGTGGGATAAGAAAGCAAAATATTTCTACACAGTAACAGCATATTAAATGCTTGTAATGGTTGTGGAATTGGGAACTCTCTCCATGGAATAAGCAAGCAAGACAAAACAACATACTTGGAAATATATCCAATATGCATCGTGGTCCTTCTTATCTCAAAAAAATAGTAATAATATCCATTTTTAAAGAAGGTATAGCAATAGTTCAAGCCAACCCAACTCCAACTGACTGTTGCTCTCCTCACCTCAAAGATCATCCGTTGTAACCCGAAACAAAAAGTTGACCCAAATGGATTTGTGTTGTTCGGAGAGGACGACCTGTAGAAATGAAAGAAGATCTGTTTGTCGGTTGCATGAAAGCAAACTTCAGTTCAAATTAAAAATTGCCCTCGTAGGAATGTTAATTTTTCCAACATCCGGTGCTATTTCGCAATGTATATTTTGCTGGCCTCGAAGTGATGTTATGAACTTCCCCAACGCTTCACCTTCTTTGCTATGCTACGCATTATTCAGGAACTTATAAATTCTGTCGTGAGGCACATTGCTCAACAAGCAAAATATTGGTGAAGATGGGTTTCCAAAAGTACAGGTAAGTCCTCGACATATAACCATTCATTTAGTGATCGTTCGAAATTACCCTGGTTAGAATGCAGTATTGCAGACTAATTCTGCCCATTGCCAGCAGTTCGATCCTGACTGGCTCAAGGTTGACTCAGCCTTCCATCCTTCTGAGGTGGGTAAAATGAGGACCCAGATCGTTGGGGGCAAGAGGCTGACTCTGTAAACCGCTTAGAGAGGGCTGGAAGCGGTATATAAGTCTAAGTGTTATTACTATTGCTAGTTATGACTGTGGTGGGCAGGTTCCATTACACTAGGAATTCAAGGACCACCTGTACTTGAGGGTTTTCTCCATAACACCTGCCAACCAACAATGGTTGCAGAAGGTTGAAGAACAGTTGCAGGAATTAGATATGGATAGTGTGATGACCCAGGGTGGGATACAAAATAAACACAGTCACAAAAAACAGGTGACGCCCCTTTTATTCCTTCACTTTGCTTCCAAGCTCCAAATATCCTTGACTGGAGACAAAAAACTCCCACACGAGCAGTTACAAGAAGGAAGAAATGCCATTTAAACTAAAAATGCCTATAAATTATAAAGAGTAAAAAACAACACAAACCAGGCAAGAGAAGGGCTGCAGGACGTCCACAGGAAACACACACTGGGAAGGACATCAAACTCAAGAGAGGAACAATAAACTAGAGACATTTCCACGCTTTGTTTCCAGCACTCGCCCATCCGCATGTCCATCCTCTTATCCAGTTGTCACACCTGCATCCCATGAAGAGGATCAGGCCCTCTCCTCCCGAGGAGACCACGTCTCTCCCTTATCCTCTTCTCCCTGCGTGCCCTAGGATGGATAGGGGAGGGCCTGGGTCCTCCTCGGACTGCCCAGATGGCCTCTGCCCTTCCCCAACCTCCTCCCCAACCTCCGGAGCCAAACCTCCACTCCCTGTGGGCTGTTCCTTCTCTCCCTCAGAGTCAGTCTCCACCAGGGTCATGAGAGATCGTCTACTCTAGACTCTAGAGAAAAGAAGGACTAGGGGCAACATCATAGCAGTCTTCCAATATTTGAGGGGCTGCCCCAAAGAAGAGGGGGTCAAGCTATTCTCCAAAGCACCAGAAGGCAGGACAAGAAGAAATGGATGGAAACTAATCAAGGAGAGAAGCAACCTAAAATTAAGGAGGAATTTCCCAATGGTGAGAGCAATCAACCAATGGAACAGCTTGCCTTCAGAAGTTCTGGGTGTCCCATCAGTGGAAGATTATAAGAAGAGACTGGACATCCATTTGTCTGGACTAGTATAGGGTCTCCTGCTTGAGCAGGGGGTTGGACTAGAAGACCTCAAGTTCCCTTCCAGTTCTATTCTGTGTTCTATTCTGACTGTGAGTTTTGCATGACCCAAATGAATACTGAGCAGAATTCTACAGCAGTACTAAATCATCTAGAACGTATCCCCTTTCAGCTCCTCAATATCATTATTGGATCCGTGGTGGTGGTTGTTTTTCTCCATATCTTGGTAGCAAAGTATGCTATTTCTTCCCAAAGGAAAGCATTTCTTTCTTCTTCTTTTTTTACCTGTGAAGAACTACGGGTTTTTCCACAGGATGTCCAAGAAGCTCTTGAATATTATCCCACTACAAGAAAAAGGAAATGAAGAAAATGAAGCCCGCTGTGAATAACAGCCTTATTTAAAAAACAAACAGAAAAAGGTTCTGCATGCATCTCATGTCCAGAATTCAGGCGCCATTTTGGAAGAACTGCAAACATCTCTCAGTGGTGACCCAACAGCTACCTTCCTCGCAGGGGCCTCGTTCCTGCTCTTTTTTTTTCTTGGACCTTCCTGGAAACTTAAAACTGCAAATATCGCAAAGTAAGCTGTATTCTGGTATGAATCCACCCACCCCAGATTCTACTGAGACCCCGTGGAAAACGTTTTTTTTTTTGCAGCACCTCTCCTAGTAACCTAGACAAAAAAACAAAAAACCCAGGTAAAACACCTGTAAGGTCAGGGCTGTTCTAAGAATCTCCTCTTTTGTGATTTACCTTGCTGTAGGTTGTGCAGGTTTCCGTCTGTGACTCAGAACTTTCTAGTTTGGGGGGAGAAAAAATTTAAAAATATAAGTTTACATGTCAATGGCACATTCCTCCTATCGAATGCTTAATAAAACATCAATAAGGTAGGTTTGGCCTAGAGCAAAAAAAGGAAAGTCTAAGAAGATTTTCAGTCATTCAGGTCATGGTTGTCCCAAAAGTGTTTCTTCTCTCCCTTTCCCTATACTGCCAGGTAAGAGATCTAAATAAGAAATTGGAAAAAAAAAAAACCACTTTGACATCAATAAGCATTTAAGCTGAAAATAAAATGTCAAAGGGATAATAAAGATTTCTGGATACTTAAAAGCTTTTAAAAGCAGGAAAGGAGAGAAAAAAGAATAAAAGGGCAGGATCTGGAAAAAAGGGAGGAGACTGGAATTAAAAGGAATTTACAGTAAAACCTCAACAAGACTTCTGAAAGATACATTTTAACTGAAACTTGGCTACAAAATAGTAGAACCCCAGGAAGAGAAAGTGGGAAAAAAGAAGCATGAAGAAACAGCTTGGGAGTATTTGGATTATTTGTTGATCTCTGGAGTTTTGGTTATTGCATTTGAATGACTAAAATCAATCGGGTGGTTGTTTAAAAGTGTTTAAAATGGCACTACTTTTAGATGAACTGAAAATGGAACTTAAAAAGTACAAAAAAGGTGCACAAGAAGGGAGAGGTTCTTTTGGCTTCGTATTTCAATTCTTAGAAATGGAGATCTGGAACTATGAGAAACAACAAGAAATGCCTGCAGAACAAGAAGACTGGGACAAAGAAGAAGCCATCTTTAATGAGCAAGTAATTTTATGTGGGGGAAAAAAAGGAAAGGGGGGAAAGAGAATGAAAAGTTTAAGATTTGAAAAAACAACCAAGAAAAGGAATAACAACTTGAAAAATAAGTATAATATTAGAAAGCAACAGAAGAGGGGAATACAGAAGACAGAATTAGAATTAGAGAGACAAGGGGGTAAAAAGGGGAGGGAGAAGAAGAGAAAGAAGAAGGAAAGGAAAATAAGTTATAAAGGACAGAAACAAGATATGGAGAAACAGGGCCTATTTAGAGATAATGGGTGAAAATTTAATTGAAAAAGGGATTCTGCAAAGGTACATAAGATAGTATTGTTATATTAGAAATAGAAATAATTTTAGAAAATATGAAACAATGTATGATTAAAATGATGGATAAAATAGTTATTGTAATCTAGTGAAATGTTTGTTAATAAATAAATGAAATAAAATGAATGAGAGAATTGAATTAGGAAAGGATGGGAACATTTCAATTATTTAATGCTTTATAAAATATAAGGGTAGAGAAATAGGGGGGAAAAATTAATTTCGGAAAACTTATAAGTGTTCCCAAGGAAGTATGATATTTAATTGAAAAGAAATGTTAACGATGTTAAGACTTTAATTAATATTAATGATAGAACTGAATTAGAATGGAATGAGTGTTTTAATTACATATATTTATAATCACTTTTTAAGAATATAGTGTGCATTTTAAGAATGTACCAAGCAGAATTCGATTGGAAGTTATGTATTATATTGAATGTTATAACCTCAAGGTATATATTGAAGCTTAAATAAGAGTTGAATGGATAAAATTAAGATATAAAGATGTCATACTCCAATTAGTAACTACAGGAGAAAATTTGTTTAATGAGAAAAGAAAATATGAAATTGAAACAGGACAGACAAAAGTATAAATATAATGATTTGAATTGAGATAATTAAAATAAAATTGAGAAAATTAAGAGAGAAGAAAAACTATGTAGAAAATGTAAAACAGTAATAAGATATGGAATAGAACATAAAAGTGAGCATGAAATTGAGTTTGTGTCTGTATGAAGAAGTGTAACCCGGGACCATGCTATTTTCAAAAAAAGATGTTTTTATTTGTATTTTTTTGTGAAAACCCAAATAAAATTTTCAAAAAAAAAAAAAAAAAGAATTCTCATACACCAAGGGTATATATTAGGGTGTCAGCACTAGTTTTCTAATATTTCTGTTGTTTCCTTAATCTTTTCTAAATTCACCTATGTTGTTGGCCATATTGAGCCTAAAAGTCTCGGCTTCACATGCCGTAACTTTGGGCTTACCCTCAACTTTGATTAAAACCTTTTTTCAAACACATCAAAAAAAGATCCTTGAATCATAGGCACCCATAATTCATTCATGGTAGATGTTTCCATTCACCTGTATCTTTTGCCAAATATTCTTTCTTTCTTACCTCGTTTAATAACGAGTGGGATCTTGAATTCACAACGGTGATAACTGCAAGAGTGGAATCAGCAGTTAGGAGAAAGTACAATCATAAACAAGAATTTAATTAAAAAAAATAATAATATTTGACTCTAAATCAGGGGTGTCCAACCGTGGCAAATCCCAGAATCCCCCGGACAGCTATCGGGCTACACCTGGGTGTCCAACCTTGGCAACTTTAAGACCTATGGACCAACTCCCAGATTTCCCCAGCCAGCATGGGCTGGCGAGGGAATTCTGGGAGTTGAAGTCCACAGGCCATTAAAGTTGCTGAGGCTGGACACTCCTGCTGTAAATGAATCATGTTTAAGTCGAACTGTTCTGAATTCATAGCACCTTGTTTTGAATTCAAAATGTGGTTTCTAAGCTCCTTCCAAAATGATCAAAACAGCCCATTTCAACACTCAGAACGGCTGTTTCAGGCTTGAAAGCCTGTGTGTCTGTGTGTGTGTTATGACACTTGAAATATATTACAAATTCAAAAGGATTCAAAGGTGAAATGTTATGCACGTTCTATATTCTGCAGTCTTGCATGGGTCTTATAAGAATATTCACTATGAATATCAGCATCCATTTCACAATCATGCGATTTTCAACATTTCTGGCAAAAATGCCCATTCGGAAAAGAATGGATTTGCTTAGCGACCACCTGATTTACTGAATGACTGCAGCGACTTGGTTTACGACTGTCATGAAGAAATGGTGTAAAATCAAACCAAGTTATATGGTGGGCCACTTAAAGACCAGAACAATTTACAGTCAAAATTCCAGGCTCAATTTTGGCCCTTAAGGGAGGACTTGCCTCTATTTCGTGGAATAAGAAGATAAACGCTTTTGACTCTCTTAAGAAAATTTTTTGGAAAGGTTAGACTCCTTCCTCAAATGAAGATTTAGAAATGATACACTAGGCCAAGGGTCTTCAAACTTGGCATTCTTCATTTAATGTAACTGACATTCTTATCATAGTCCCATTTTACATATATTCCAGTTAATTTAACAATGATTTTCAAAAAATAGTCAAATATAATTAAAATGAATTATGAGAATTGTAATACAAAGACAAATATCAGTTTCTACAATTAGCTGAAAAGATTAACATATTAGAAAAGATAAATGTCTTAGAATAAAGAAAAGAATACCATGTGGAATCTAACCTAAAATGTATATGTGATAAGTAGTACTTAGGTGATAACTAAAATGATTATATTATGGTAATTTTTAATATGAGTTAAAGGAGAGTAAACTGAATGATGTATAAGACAAAAGGGTGGTGCACTGAAACCGGTAATTAAGGGGGAAATGTTTGGAATTATCAAAACTAAGATGGAATTTATTGAATAATGAAACAAGAATATGTGATGAAATTGCAAATATGAAAGATAAAAGTATAATGAATACAGATTAAGAAATAAGAGTTTTAAGATATATAAAGAAGGTAAGAATATAATTAAAGAAAAACAGAATAAGTTAAGATATGAATTAAAAATGGATAAAATAAGTGTGAAAAACATAAGAATATTTGTGAAAATTTATAGAAAATGGAAAATGTAATAATACGATAAGAAACTGAATATGTAAGATAGATATGTAATTATGGTCATGTTTGTATGGAAATGTAAAAACCTGGAATCACACTGTTCACCAAAAGAGATGTTTGTAAAAGACAACAGTGAAAAACTTTTTGGAAAAAAAGACTTGTGGACTTCAACTCCCAGAGTTCCTGAGCTAACTGGAGGAGGAATTCTGGGAGTTGAAGTCCACAAGTCTTCGAGCTGCTAAGTTTGAAGACCCCTGTATTAGGCATTGTGTGTTTAACCCTGGTGGAAATCCAGCAAAGCACAACATTTCTAGGCTCTGGCATATCCATCCACTAGCTCAGGCACCCCCATGGTCTATTCAGAGCTGGGCCATGTGAGAGGTGGGCCAGTGTGTGCATGCATGCACATGCATGTGTGCACAGCTCAGCTCGCCCGAGCGGAAGGCCAGTTGCCCTCTCTCCCCCTCCCAGCCTGGCCGCCAAGCTGCGAAGGTTGTTGGGCCACTGCTCTACCCCGTAAACTTTTCAAACTGAAATAGAAAATAGAGCTTTTTTTACTCACATGTTGAAGTTATAATGACCAGGATAATTGGTATGCAAAACAAATTTCTTTACTCTATGAGTATTTGCATCAAAAAGGATGTCCTGTGGGAGAAAATGACAACAACAAGGGAAAACACATGAAACAAGCCATCATAATCAATCGATTCATCATCCTCTTTTAATGACCCCATAATCCCATGCACCTGGGCAACTGAATGGAGCTGAGTATTACTGGCTGGATGCCCTTCCTGTTGCCAATGCGGAGTTTTGTTCAGCAGATATATTCTCATCGTGCCCCAAGAGAGAAATATCTGCCTCTACCTAGGATTGAACTCACAGCCTCCTGATTGTGAGGCGAGAGCTTCACTTCTAGGCCGCCGCACCAGTCATCATGATCAATCAATTGATCTATTTAAATTATTGTAACGCCCTACATGTCATTCAACAAGTACCTGGCTCAACAGTATTAACTGTAGGAGGAATCTAGCTGTCCTAGCAGACAACCCCTTAAATATGAGCTGTACTGCAGCTGCCAAAAAAGCCAATGCAGTCCTAGCCTATGTCAACAGAGGGATAGTTTCAAGATGACGTAAAGTGATAATACTGCTTTATGTTGCATTAGTGAGGCCACACTTGGAATCCTGCATCCCGTTCTGGTCACCACGATACAAAAAATTATGTTGAGACTCTGGAAAGAGTGAGGAGAAGAGCAACAAAGATGGTTAGGGGACTGGAGGCTAAAGCATACGGTGAATGGCTAAAGGAACTAGGCACGTCTACTTTAAACTGGAACGAAGGGAAAATTTCTTGACAGTCAGAACAATAAACCAGGGTAATAATGGCTTTCCTGAAGAAGTTGTGGCTGCTCCATCACTGGAGGTTTTTAAGAGGAGAATGGCCAGCCATTTGTGCAGGAGGGCGTTTAAGGTTTCATGCTTTGAGCAGGGTTGGACTAGAACGGTGGGAAAATGTGGGTGGTTGAGAAATGTCCCCCCCAAAGCAATTAATCCAGGCTTTGCGGGAACACAAGGCTGTGCCGTCTACATGGCCCGCCCACCCACTGGCCCCCAACCTTCAGCCAAGCGCAAACCTTACCTTGAGTAGAGCCACGTGAGCTGGAAGTGGAAGGTAAGACCAAGGGCAGGGAAGGGAAATTCGCCCCGGGGTGGCTTGCTGACATTGGTGGGAATGTCGGTCCCATATTCCAGAGCTGCAGGAGTCACTGGACTGGCCCTTTGGTCATCCTGGAGCAGCTCCTCCAGTCCATGGCAGGCTGGTGCACCCAGGTGGAGGAGCAGCTGCTCCGGGATGACCAAAGGGCCAGTCCTGTGACTACTGCAGCTCTGGGAATATGGGACCAACTTTCCCACCAACCTCAGCAAGCCACCGTCCGTCAAAATCCCTATTAGTGGTCCGCAGGATTTAAAATTATGAGTTGGTGGTCCCTGAGGTCCAAAAGGTTGGTAAGCCCTGGATTAGATGACCTCCAAGGTCCCTTCCAAGCCTGTTTATTCTATGGAGATTCTCGGTCCTCCAGGTCCTGGTTGTCCCAAAGGTGCTTTTTTTTTTCAAGACGCAACTGGGCTTGCTTGTTTTTCCTTGAAGACGTTTCGCTTCTCATCCAAGAAGCTTCTTCAGGTCTGAATGGATTGATGGGCAATGGGAGGATCCATATTCCTTGCAGACAGCTGGTCACTTGCATCCTTTTGGAGGGTCGTCGAGACCACTTGGAGGTTTATCTGTGTCCTCAGGGTCATCTGAGGAGTGCGAATGGTTCCTGTAGCCTGCAATTTTTTTCCTTTGGAAATACACTCCTACTTCCACGCCATTCCAAGGGTGTTCATCCCAAATTGTATAGCTAAGAGTCTGTAGAGATTCTCAGCCCTCCAGGTCATGGTTGTCATCCAAGAAGGACAGAGCTGAAAAACTTCTTGGATGACAAAGCAAAACGTCTTCAAGGAAAAACAAGGACCTTTGGGACTGCTTATTCTACGATATTCTATGCATGACTCAAAGGTGCTTTCCCCCCCCATCTCCATCCAGTCAGAGCTGAAGAAGCTTCTTGGATGAGAAGCGAAATGTCTTCAAAGAAAAAAAAAAACACAGAAAGTCCAGTTGCCTCTTGAAAAAAAAAATTAGTACCTTTGGGATAACCATGACTGAGAATCTGTGTAGACATTCTACATGTGAGCAACTTGAAAAAATGAATTAATTCAAAAATGAGCAGCCAAACCATCTGCTACTTTTTTCAACAGCTGGCCTACAATTTGACATCATATCACGTGTGGCACCTCCATACCTGTCATGCCTCTGTTGGAATCTGATTCCGAGGGAGAGGTGGAACAGCTGACAGGAAGTGGGAGTGTGGCTCTGGTGGCTGTGGAGGAAACTGGGGAAGGGCACAGTCTGGCTGGGCATTCAGAGGAAGACCTAGGGCCACCCCCTCTTCATCCTAGGGCATGCAGGGAGGAACAGAGAAGGGAGCAATGTGGGTTACGGGGGAGGAAAGGGCCCTGATTCCCTTCATTAGCTGCAGCTGGGAAAACAGGATAAAGAGGGTGTTTGCGCATAGCTCCTTGCTGGAAGCAAAACATGAATTATTTTGGTTTGTATTATCTGAGTTCTGGCGTCCTCCCAACAACAGTATTTGTTTTGTTATCTTTTGAAGTCTGCAATTCCTTATCCTACCCTGTCTCGTTAATTGTTGCAGCATGGTTTGTGTTGGTTTTTATTTATAATTTATATATACTTCGGGTTCGGATGGAATTTCTTCCTTTTAAAAACTGTTCTTGGGATTTTTTTCTCCAGCCAATGATAACTGGACATTGGGGCCCAAGTTGGCGGTATTAAAGGGACTTTACCTACTTTTGTGACTTTGTTGTGCCAGGCCCCTTTGGGTCATCACAATACCACTCTTCTTAAGCAAAAACTAAGTTCTTAAGAGGTTTTACTCTCTGATGGAAAATCTGACTTCTCTCATTCATTGATGGAGTTTATGGAGGCCCTCAAGTGCCATCTAGTGGCTTTGCAGAATCCAGGAGCTGCCTTTTTGGCCCTGGGACTTTGACCAGACCAGCTAAGGTAATGCTAGAACTCAGGTGACGTGGCTCGGCCTATTGGGGTGACCCTGGCCACTTGTGTTTATGGTTATACAAACAGGGTTTAATGGCGCGTACTAACCCCATCTTTAACTCACCACTCCAAGCGTGAAGTAGTTGAAGAAGAAGTCGTTGCACTTCGAAGGGACTTGCTTGTGAGGGGAAGGTGAGTGGATTTTCATCTGTTTGCAAAAAAATAAAAAACCCGTCAGATCCGTGTATCTGCCATTCTTCAATGGAAGAAGGAGGAGGAGAGGGTTTGATACAAGTAATCCTTTTTTAATGTAACCTGAATATCTTAATTCTTGTATTGAATCCGTATAACTTGCACATGATATACAACTGGAGTCTGAAGCCCAGAGGCCTGGAAACTTCTGTCACCTCTTGGGAGAGACGGCAAGAGGAGAAGAGGCCATAAAAATTCCAGCTCTGAAAGAAAATTCCTGGGAAGATCTTTTCAACTATGTTCCCAGAAAAAATAAAGGAGGGTGGAATTAAGATTTGCAGAAAACCTTGTGAGGGGACCCCAAAGGGAACCAGAAGTTAGAACTTTTAAAATTATAAGAGAAAGATTACTGTTGATTACTGTAAGCTATTATTAATTCTAATTAGTATTAATAATTAATACGTATTAATATTATGAAGGGAAAGCACGGGTACTATAGGATTATTGCTAGAGAATTGTTGTGACCCGCTGGCAGCTAACGGAGCTGGCAACAGAGTCGGACAGTGAGGAGGTTGGGGTGGAACATGGGCCAGTCCTGGAGTCTGGGGAAGGCTCGGATGAGGGCTCTGTGTCAGAGGCAGAGATAAGGCCAGGGCTATCCGGCAGTTATCAGCTGCCTTCAGAGTCAGAGATCAGTGGGGCAGAAGAACAGCTGGAGCCTGTTCCCGATGTGCACATGCACAGAGCTGCCAGGAGAAGGGGACAGTTAAAGAACAAGGGCCAACTAGGGAGTAAAGGCGCATGTGGACATTGAATGGCCCCTCCCATAGGGATTAAAAGAGGAGCAAAAGGGGAGGGGGCTTCTGCAGGAAACAATTCTTTCATTGCAGCAGTGTGAAGATCTGTCTGTGTATCTCAGAGGCTCTGTGCCGAGTCCTTCCTTGTCAGCACTGCGTTTGGAAATACTTACTTGGCAGCTCTCCAAGCTAGATAAGGTCTGTGCTCCTAATTACACCCTTGACAGACTGTTTGCCAGGCCTTAGGCTGAAGGTGAATGCAAGAAATTCACCTTCGTTTAATAAAAGGGGTTTTGCCAGGACAAAGAGTCTGCTTAGTGCTTTTTGGGGGAAGCCGAGGTCAGAACAAGAATATCATCACTATTATGACGCTGAATATTGTTCAAAGGAATTGCAACCAGACAACGCCCGGTCTATATGGATATTGAATATGTTGCTCTTTCTGTTTTTAATAAAAATATTTTTTAAAAAAATGATCTGCATGGATTTTGCCTCACCTTATCTTCAGATTTGTAGAAAACCTTGTGAGGGGACCCCAAAGTGCTCAGGACATCTTGGCACGAATCACCGAAATACACACAACGCTCGGATACCCGTATTTTGGCATCAGCTAACACACCTGGACTGCAGCCTAGAAAGGAGAAATAGACAGGAAGATATGAGCACTACAGAGTAATTCTGAAGCACCTGCACTGATCCAGGCAGTCTTAGAAAATAGAATTATGTGAACGTGAGTGGTCAGAGAAACAAAATCTTCTTTTGAAAAACTAGAACCCTCATGTAAAAACCATTTGCTGAAAGAAAGAAATGAAATTACGGTTTAAGTACTCGTTCTTTAAATTAGCCCATTTGATGTATGTGTCAGATCCGTGTATCTGCCATTCTTCAATGGAAGAAGAAGTGGGAGTTGGTACAAGTAATCCTTTTTGATGTAACCTGAATATCTTATATCTTATATTGAATCTGTATAACTTGCACATGATATACAACTGGAGGACTGGAGCCAGGTGTCTAGAAACTTGTCACCTCTTGGAGAGATAGCAAGAGGAGAAGGGACCATAAAAATTCCAGCTCTGAAAGATACTCCCTGGGAAACTTTTCTAAGATACCTTCCCATTCCCAGAAAAGGAGGGGGGAATTAACATGTTGGTTCTTTGTTTGGCTAAATCCACATCAGGACAACGGGAGGGGTTCTAACTCCCTTTATCTATTACTGTATGCCTGGAAGCATCTAAGATTCTGCTTTGACTAGTACCGGGACCACTTCCTTTCAATAAAGAATTCCTTTTGAAGTATCTAGTTTTCAGAAGATCATTCTTTTCGGTTGAAGGAGAAAAGTCCAGGGCTTACAGTAATGGTACATTGATTTAAAAATGGTTGCCTAAGATGCACCCCATTGAAAGTTACAAACAGACACAAGAGTTTTAGTAATAGGCAGAGAGTTGTTGTTATTTTTGTCGCAGTCTGATCTAGTATTGGGTGGTTTACTTTTGACCAGGTGAGCCGACTAGAAACACTGGAAGCAACCAACCTCACCAACTGGCCCACATTAACTTTCCTGTTTTTACTGAGAAAGTCAAGAACAAATATTTTCACCTGGAATTAGACTAACAGAGTTGGAAGGGAGCTGGGAGGTCTTCTAGTCCAACCCCCTGCTCAAGCAGGAGACCCTGTTCCAGACAAATGGCTGTCCAATCTCTTCTTGAAAACCTCCAGTGATGGAGAACTCCCTACTTCTGGAAGCAAGCCATCCCATTGATTAACTGTCCTCAATGTCAAGAAAATTTCTCCTTAGTTCTAGGTTGGGTCTCCCTTTGATAAGCTTCCATCTGTCCTGCCTTCAGATGCTTTGGAGAATAAGTCGGCCCCCTCTTCTCTGTGACATCCCCTCAGATATTGGAGACTGCTATCAAGTCACCAATGGTTCTTCTCCTTAGACATACCTAGAACCCTCCATCGTTCATCATACGGTTCTAGGCCCCTAATCATCTTTGTTGCTCTTCTCTGCACTCTTTCTAGGGTCTCAACTAACTTCGGTGACCAGAACTGGACATATTATGATACCTGCAGTGAGTAAGCGCAGTCGTAAACCTGAGGGACCAGCTCCATCTCGGAGAACATCAATGTATTCTGCGTACACATTTCCCAGGAAACAGCTGAGTGGCATCATAGGTGCCCTAAAAGCATAAAACAATGTAAATAATTTAAAATGTGATATACGTTCCTTTACCAATCTTGAAGGTTCCACACCCCAAACTTCCTAACTCAAAATAGACACCACAATGGAAGAGCAAGTCTAACTGCTGAAGTTGACTGGAGGATGATGGGAACTGTAGTCCAACAGAGAAAAAAGGGAAGCCTCTGCTGAAGAAGGGCTGGATTGATAAATCATGGTTTGAAGCTTGCCAGCCAATAAAAGTTAGATGTATTTCCTGTTTAAGGAGGGGGGAAAAGGCAGAATTTTGAGAGATGTCCCAAAAATGCTTTTTTCAAGAGGCAACTGGTCTGTCTGGTTTTTCCATGAAGACATTTCGCTTCCCATCCAAGAAGCTTCTTCAGCTCTGACTGGATGGTGGAGAACAGAAGAATGGTAATCCAGTCAGAGCTGAAGAAGCTTCTTGGATGAAAAGCGAAACATCTTCAACGAAAAACCAGACAGACCAGTTGCCTCCTGAAAAAAAGCACCTTTGGAACAACCGTGACCTGGATGAGGGAGAATTTCCATAGAAATTTTGAGAGATGGCTTGCACGCCAAGGAAACGATGTGTGAAAGACCCAATTTCTCAGCCGGGAAACTGAAAAGAGTTTCCTGAACTGAACAGAGAGAGAGAAAAAGAGTTTAAGTACAAAAGAGAAGATGAAATACATCTCAGTGAAAGACTAACACAAAATATTCACTCTCAGAACAGGTTAAGTCCGTGACTCAGAGCAACAATTGGGACCAGTATTTATGTTAACTAAGCAAGATGGCGGTGAAGTGAGTTACGCCCAACTGTATGACCTTTTCTGCCATCATGAAGAAAATCACTGCAATTGTTTAAGTGAATCACTCGGTCCATAACTGAGTCCGCCTTGTTTCACTGACGTGTTTTTTTGCCACAAAACAGCCAAAAAATGTCCCAAAACACAATCATGTAATTGGAGGGTGCTGCATTTGTCATAAATGACAAATACTACCCGAGACTTCTCAGGAAATAACAACTGAATGAAAAACTGCTGGTGACCTTCTATCTCTGCACTATAGAGAGTATCTTACTGCACCTGTGTATGGTTTTGCCCATTGCACAGGGGCAGATAGGACAGCACTCCAGAGGGTTAACATCATTGCCCAGAGGATCCTGGGTTGCCTTCTCCCCTCTTTGGAAGAGCTTTAGAGCTCCCGCTGCCTTAAGAAAGTTCAAAACATCCTCAAAGATCCATCTCATCCTGGGCACCTTTTTTTGGAACTATTATCATCTGGCAGATGGTAGAGAATAACAAAAACAAGGACAGATAGGCTGAAAAACAGCTTCTATTCCAGGGCAGTAACTCTGTTGAATTCTACTGTATAGTGCAATATTAATCCAATATCGGGGGTTTTCAATTCAATGTATAGAATGCAAAGGATGTGTGTTTGTGTTTTATTTTTATATTTATAATGTGCACTGAAGATGGCATTTGATTTTGTTGTATGAGGTGCAATGACAATAAAGTAAACTTTTTCTTTTATGTATACTGAGAGCATTTGCACCAAGATAAATTCCTTGTGTGTCCAATCACACTTGGCCAATAAAGAATTCTAATACTATTCTATGCTATTCTATGCTATGCTATGCTATGCTAAACTAAACTAAACTAAACTAAACTAAACTAAATGCAGTTACTAAAGGCCCAAAATGCGATGATGCGAATGGTGTGTGTGTGTGTGTGTGTGTTAGTTGTAAATTTGAGGACAAGTCATCCTAACCTCAAATGGTTATTAAGCAATCAGTTATGAATTGAGGACTACCTGCACAATTATATTATATTCATGAAAAAGCAACATATTATATAGCCACCCTTGCTGGGTAGTCTAAACCATACAATTTATAATCGAGGAAAGGCACAGGGAGAAAAAATGAATACATTCTTCCTATTTTTCAACGATAGCCGACATAAAATATTTATATTTTATATGCCCAGATTATTAAATTATCAATCTAGTTGTTTAATTAATCAATTAGCAATCAGATTAATGAATTATTGAGTATAGGGGCCTCCTGCTTGAGCAGGGGGTTGGACTAGATGACCTCTAAGCTCCCTTCCAACTCTGTGACTCCGCAACATCAGAACGACATACTTCGTATCCTGCAGACTGTTTCCACTGTAGATGTACATGCGTTTCACAGTTGCACCGTGTGGGATTTGCAGAGAGGCTAAGCCGTGGGCAAAGTTTGGCTGTGGAAATCGAAATGAAAAATTATTGCGAACACAGTAACTGGCAGGTACACTCCCAAAACAGCACCTTCATCTTCTATATAGTGGTATTTATCTCTCTCTCTCTCTCTCTCTCTCTCTCTCTCTCTCACACACACACACACACACACACACAAAAGTGAAATACCACTTACGCATCATCCAAAAATCTCCACAACTGTAAAGCCTACAAACTTGACATTTGGCACGTATGTTCCTCTTGCCTTCGAGGTGCTCACTAAGAAAGGATTTTTCCAAATGACTATCAGAGCATTAGCATTTCCTATATTATTGTTACTAACATGCTCTGATGCTAAGGAGTTCTACTCCACCCCCCCATCTGAAAAGAAATCTCTTCCAAATGCAAAACACAAGCAGAGGAGAGGAGTTTCCGTTTCAGTTTCACAGCACCAAGCAGCTTTAGCACAGAACAGCTGAGCTAAGCCACACCCAGGCTCCTTGCTGTCTCCTTGCTCACACAGCAAATACTGTTTCAATTTCCAAACAGCCTTCAACTCTCTCACACACTGACAGGATGCTAGCCAGATGACTACCACTGGATGCTGGTAGACAGAGGCAGAATTCCCCCCCACCTTATTTTCCTCCCCCAAAAAACTAAGCCCGATCACATAGTTTCGTAGCGAAGCACGGATATAAAGTGCTTAGTGAAAAATTTAATCCCTCTCTTGCAAAACCCAGGATCTGCTTCCCATATTTCAGTCAGTCATAAGGGGATTTGTTTTGAGTTCCGGCAGGAGATCGTAGCCACCGTGCCTCTAAAATCAAGGATTTTATGGCTTAGTGGATTGCGTTAACCTGGGCGATTGTGGTTTATTCAACAAAAGATGGATAAACATGCCATAGCTTGACATGATGGCTACAGTTATAGCTTGGGGATCAAGCCTCCTGAATCAGGGGCATTTGCGGGAATGGTGCACCTGTCCGACTGTGTGTGTGTCTGTGTAGTTCAAGATGATGTCCACCAGCGCAGCTCTTTTTACACATATCCTGAGTTCGCATGGAAAGATCTGCAGTTTCCAATTCAGGCCTCCAAGCTGGTTTTTTTTTTTTCTTCTAACCTTTCTCTGAATTCACCCCTGCTATGTAGTCTAAACCAGGGGACTTCAACTCCCAGAATTCCTCAGCCAGCGCATGCATGCGCTGGCTGAGGAATTCTGGGAGTTGAAGTCCACAAGTCGTAAAGTTCCCAAGGTTGGAGAGCCCCCTGGTTTAAAAACCACACATTTTACAATCAAAGAAAGGGAACACAGAGGAAGAAACGAACACGTTGTTTTCCTTTTGCATTTTTTTTTTTAAATTTATTTTTTTTAACCTGAATAGCTGACCTCATACTTTGGAGTTTCAGTCCATGAGTCCAACTGAAAGGAAAAAGACAGGCCCCTGAAGTTGAGGTGGAAAAGTTGCTCGGCGGAGTTGTAAACTGAGGGGAAAAACACACATACAGCAGCTTGTTAAAAACAGTAACTCTTGGTTAAAACCCAAACTCGGCATTAACATTCATGCGGCCAAACATTGCCTTCACCCCACGGGGAAACCTCGATTTACGACCGTGGCCGCTCAAAGTTACAACAGATCCCGAAAAACTGACCTACAACCCGGATTTGAAGTTCCAATGTCTGCTATCCCAACCCCAGAGTTACACCATCAACCAGCTTCTTGTAGTGTCCCGTAGTCACACGACCACGACATTTCCATAAACCAACATTTATTTCCCATTTCTGGTAAAGGTCCCATAGCAAACAATGGGTTTGCTGAACGACCGCTGCTAAAAAGGTCATAAAATCAGGCGATCCACTTTATGTCCATCACAGCTTACGGCTGAAATTGTGGGTTCAATTATAGTCGTTCAGGACTAACTGTATAATAATCTAAACCAGCGGTCGCCAACTGGTGGGCTGTGGCCCACTGGTGGGCCGTGAGAAAATTTTGGTGGGCCGCAGAGAAATCTCACCTCCAGAGCAATTAATTCAGGCTGCACAGAAACACAAGGCTGCGCCGCCCACATGGCCCGCGGGAACCCACCCCGCTCACTCACTCCTTACCCAGCAAACTTGCCTGCTAAATTGCTGTTTTTCCTTTTTCCGACCATCAGCTGTTCTGCTGTGGCGGGAGATTTAGATTAGCTAGGAAGCAGGAAATGGTGGGATTTCTTGCTTTCTAGCTAGTCTTTAGATCTTCGGCTCTGCTTTTAAGCACAGTCGAACCTCCCCTAGGACTGAAGGTTCTATTATTCAGTGCAGACTCACGGCAAGTAAATTTTATGTGACAGACTGAACTAGCCGATGGCAGATAGATAGATCACTGAATGATTCTGTGAGCAACTCAATCTGCCTGCCTGCTTTGCCTGATTTGGGGTAAAAGTTGCTCTTTTTTAATTAAAAAATCAATATTTATATAAATATGTATAGTATTTACATATGAGCCATGCCCAGCCAGTCACATGGCCACCAAGCCACACCCACAAATTAGGCCACACCCACAGAACCGGTTAGTGGTCCCTGGGATTTAAAATTATGAGTTTGGTGGTCTCTGAGGTCCAAAAGGTTGGTGACCCTTGATCTAAACCTTGTCCTTCCAAATCTGTCCCAGGGTTGAGCTCTTCATTATAACACGTCTCCGTTTTTTCCAATCATGTGGTAAACAGTAGGAGTTTTAAGGTATCATAGGAAGATTAAAAATACAGAATAACAGAGTTGGAAGGGACCCTGGAGGTCTTCTAGTCCAACCCCTTGCTCAGGCAGGAAACCCTATACCAGTATAGAAAAATGACTGTCCAATCTCTTCTTAAAAATCTCCAGTGTTGGAGCATCCACAACTTCTGGAGCAAGTTGTTCTGCTGGTTAATACAGAGTGAAAAATGAAGTTTTTTCATGGGATCACAGTCAGTATTTTAAATCGGGTGAAAAATTAGACGTCCCTATTTCTAGATTCTTGGGGCATTGTTTCCTTCTGGTAGCAGCTCAAGCAGGACTCGCAAGTTTCTACAGTTCCAACACAACCTACCTAACCTGTTTGGCTAGATGTTATAATGGGGCTAAATAATGATAAGAAAACAAGGAAGAGGCACAGGGAAGCATGCTGCGGAATATCAAGGGGCAACAAAATTAAGAAACGAGACAGGAGGAATAAAGGGATAAAGACAGTCCTTAATTGAGCCTAAAATTTATGTTGCTAAGCAAAACATTCGTTAAGGGAGTTTTGCCCCATTTTACAACCTTTCTTGCATCCAAATTTTGATCATGTGACCATGAAGATACTGCAACGGTCATAAGTGTGAAAAACAGTCATAAGTCACTTTTTTTCATTGCAATTGTAACTTCAACTGGTCACTAAATGAGTGGTTGTAAGTCAAGGATTGTCTGTATGAGTTTCTGATCTGAGCTCAAACATTTCTCTTGACTTCCTGCCTCCTACAAATGCTGAATTCTTGGAAGAAAAACACCATTTGGGTATGTTTTGTTTCATCCTGGCTTTTAAATCCTCTTTTGTTGATCAGCCTGAAACGTTATATCTCGTTAGAAATGAGAATGGCACATATTTAAGAGGATTTTTTTTTGCCTTTTCCGTTTGATATTTACACTGTTCCTCTTGCAAAGAACAGCATACAAATTTAGTAACTGCGTAATTTGGATGGTTCACCTTTTAGTAGAACCTTCGTCTTGTAAGGCAAACAAGCAATTAAGCAATTAAATGTTACTGACAAGAGGAGGGGAAAAACCCTGTAACATATGAACCACCATGCAAATTTCCCTCCAAGCAACTTTGTGCTTTCCTGGTATGAAATTATTTACAGTATTTTGAGGCATATAATAAAAGGCTAAAATAAATGGCTGCAGGTTTTGGGTTTGGCTATAGTCTAAAGAAAAGAATTAGGGGTGACGTGATAGCAATATCCCAATATTTGAGGGGCTGCCAGAAAGAAGGAGACAAACTATTCTCCAAAGCTCCAGAAGGCAGGACAAGAAACAATGGTTGGAAACCAGTCAAGGAGAGATGCAACCTGGAATTAAGGAGAAATTTCCTAATAGGGAGGACAATTAACCAGTGGAACAGCTTGCCTCCAGAAGTTGTGGGTGATCCATCCCTGGAGGCTTTTAAGAAGACTTATCTGAAATGGGATAGGTTCTCCTGCTTAAGCAGGGGGCTGGACTAGAAGACCTCTAAAGTCCCTCCCAGCTCTATTCTAATTCTAATATTCTAAACTTGCTGGTTTGTGCTATAACATCACAGAAAGAATAAAATCAGTTTAAAGACCCCATCCTACATCCCAGAAAAAGACAACAAACAACCTTTCAGAAGAAGTATTTCACAGAAACTCTTTTTCAACTGGTTAAAAGAGCTGTTTGTCCCCACCAGATTTTACACAAATGCTTTGGATGTTGCTCCTGGTCATCCCATCATGGATCTCTTTTGAAGGTTTTGCACAATCCCGGCAGACAGCACAAGAAAACCAACAAAGCAGACACAAGTATCTGCCATAGTTTCTCTCCTTGGTGCCGCTCAAATGTTTTGAGAGATACATGTACAGGATAGAATACAGAATAATAGAATTGGACGGTCTACGGAGATTCTCATTCATTTAGTTTTCTTCCAAGTTTTGTTGGATTTTTATTTTTGTAAGCATACATCAATATCAATACATGAACAGTGTGGCCTCTGGGCATAATTCATTTTGATACGAGCAGCAATAACGATAATCATAACAGTTGTTATATTAATCAAACTTATATAATCCTAGTATTACTATACATGGGTTTTTTAGAGTATTTATTCAATATTTCAATGTTCCACTTTACTGGCAATGATATAATAAGCATAGATGATAATACCATCTTTCAACCTCTGATCTTTTCCATCAAATTATTACTTATATTCTGTTATATAAAATTTTTACCGGCTAATATTCCCCCTATTTCTTATTTTTACCTCTATTGTAGCTTCTAACAAGGTCACCATTGCCAATCCTAACATTAATACACATGTTTATATTAAGACATAGTCCTCCATTATTTGGTTGTTGAAAAGTCACAATGCGGCATCCAAGTACCAGTCTTCCTATTATTTGAAAACACTGTCCATCAGAGCTGAAGAAACTTCTTGGATGAGGAAGAGAAATGTCTTCGAAGAAAAACCAGAACGTCCAGTTGCTTCTTGGAGAAAGCACTTTTGGGACAATAGGATTGGAAGGGACCCTGGAGGCCTTCTAGTCCAACCCCCTGTCCAAGTAGGAGATCCTATGCCATTGAGAAACCTGGCTGATATCATGGGATGAATTTATTCCCATTGCTAATCTGTTTGTCATGCCCCTGTCGAAATCTGATTCCAAGGGGGAGGCCGAGCAGCTGACAGGGGGTGGGAGTGTGACTCGGTTGGCTGTGGAAGAAACTGGGGAAAGGCAGGGAGAGGCAGAGCAAGAGAGAGGGAATTCAGAGGAAGACCCAGGCCCACCCCCTCTTCATCCTAGGGCATGCTGGGAAGAACAGAGAAGGGAACAACATGAGTTGCATGGCTTACGGGGAGGAAAGGGCCCTGATTCCCTTCATTAGCTGCAGCTGGGAACACAGGGAGTTTGCGCACAGCAACTTGTTGAAAGCAAATCGCGAGTTATCTTTTATTGTCAAGGCTTATCTGGATTCCTGGCGTCTTCCCAACTGTGTGTGTTTTGTTGGCCTTTGAAGTCTGCAAATTGCTTCTCCTGCCCTGTCCAGTTAATTGCTGCAGCGTGATTTGTGTGGATTTTTATTTACAGGTTGTATGTACTTTGTTTTCAGACTGAATTACCTCCACTTAAAGACTGTTCTTAGGAGAGTTTTTTTCTCCAGCCGAAGGTAACTGGACATTAGGGGCAAAGTTGGATGTATTAAAGGGACTTTTCTTTCTTATGTGACTGTGTTGCCTTTGTGCCACGCCCCTTTGGGTCATCACACTGTTCCACGGATTAGTTGTTCTCACGGTCAGGAAATTTCTCCTGAGTTCTAGTCTGGATCTCTCCTTGACAAGTGATGGAGCACCACACCTTCCAGAGGTGAGTAATTCCAGTGATTAATTATCCTCATAGCCACAAAATTTCTTTGTAGTTCTAGTTCATGGAATTTTCTTCAATCTGATGTCCCTCCCCTGACATCTTGGGATTTTCTCAACCGATGTTGGTTGGGCAATTCTGGAGCTCCACCAAAAATTGGAGAAGGTGACACTAAGCCACCATATCTTTCAACTAGCTCTATACCCCTGCTTCACTACGAAACTCTCTGGTCGGGTTTAGTTTTTGAGGAGGAAAATAAGGGGGAGGGGGAGAATTCTGCCTCTGCCTACCAGCATCCAGCGGTATTCATCTGGCTAGCATTCTGTCAGTGTGTGAGAGAGTTGAGGGCTGTTTGGAAATTGAAACTGTTTGCTGTGTGAGCAAGGAGACAGCAAGGAGCCTGGGTGTGGCTTAGCTCAGCTGTTCTGTGCTAAAGCTGCTTGGTGCTCTGAAACTGAAACTGAAACTCCTCTCCTCTGCTGTGTTTTGCATTTGGAAGAGATTTCTTTCCAGGTGGGGAGAGGGAGTAGAACTCCTTAGCATCAGAGCACGTTAATAATAATAATAATAATTATAATATAGGAAATTCTAATGCTCTGATGGTCATTTGGAAAAATCCTTTCTTAGTGAGCACCTGGAAGGCAAGAGGAACATACGGGCCAAATGTCAAGTTCGTAGGCTTTACGGTTGTGGAGATTTGGTGATGATGCGTGAGTGGTATTTCGCTTTTATATATAAAAGAAGATTTGGTTTAGCAGGAGGCACGAATGCAGACGCTGCAGTTTGTAAACCATTTGTTTCTTCAAAGAATCTGGTCCACCCCAAAGTCACAAAAAAAGACCACTTCTATTGTTAGAAGGAACAGGTAATCTCTTTCTTACCCTTTCCAGTTTTATTGGCCTAAATTCACATTTTACTAAATTGTCATGTGCCTTCTCCAAAGTAATCTCTGTGCTCCTTGATGCATGTTTTTCTCCTGTCCAAAGTCATCCCATGCAGAAGCCAAGTGACTCTCCAAATGATCACCTATACAGGTAGTCTTTGACTTATGACCACAATTGAACCCAAAATTTTTGTTGCTAAGCGAGACAATTCCCAAGTGAGTTTTGCCCCATTCTATGACTTTCCTTGCCACAACTGTTAAGTGAATCACTGCAGTTAACACAGTTGTGGTGTGAATCTGGCTTCCTCGTGGACTTTGCTTGTCAAAAAGTCACCAAAGGGGATCACATTAGTCCAGGATATCAGTCAGCTGCAAGCATCTGAATTTTGATCGTGTCATCATGGAGATGCTGCAACAGTCGTAGGTGTGAAAAAAAATCATAAGTCACAACCATAGAAGTGTATGCGAGGGGCGGGGGGGGGGGGGGCCTGTCACTTTGTTTAGTGCCATTGCATCAATGAACTGTTGTAAGTCAAGGAAACCTACAGTATCAACGTGAATCTGAAATTAAAAGGAAGAACGAATTCCCCTGGACTGGCATTTGTTGGAAATGGTGTAGGATCTCCTGCTTGGGCAGGGGGTTGGACTGGATGACCTGCAAGATCCCTTCCAAGTCCTAATCTAATCTAATCTAATCTAATCTAATCTAATATGGCGAAAGGGTTCTTCTGGATATGAGCTGCCAAGCAAGATTTGCATCTTTTTAAATGCCCAAAACTCACCTCCTGGATGGGTGGCTCCAAAAGACTGATCAATTTGTTCAATGGTAGGAGGAATAGCTTGAGAGTTAAAATGAACACCACTAGGGAAAAAAGAAAGATTCATTAAAATCGATCAGTCAAATGGAAAGCTACCCACGCGTTCACAAACTGCTTCATTTTTTATTTTCACGGTTTCTTTTGTTGCTGATTTCCACAACCTAAAAAACTAGAATGTCCCCATTTTTTTTTTGCAGCGTGGAAGAAACTTGCAACCAAGACCAACTACCTTGGCTCAAAGCTATTTGTGATCTGAGGCTTCAGGTTAAATATCCTATCTCTGCTTCTAACCAAATCTGCTCAGACGTGAAATTCTAGGGCAGAGGTCTTTCGGTAAAAGGTTCAAAAATGTATTTTAATGCACTTTTGCGTCATGTACAAAATGCTTTTGTTGCAACTATTGGCTTTAATGGGGGTGAGAAAAACAGAATGCTAGTTCAAGCCAAGTCCATGCTTTCTTACTTTCATCAGATCTTCTGCAATTACAGTTTGAAATTTGTAAAAAGAAAAAAAAGGGTTTAGAAGAGAAAGCCCAAAGAATTAACATGCATTGTTGCTAGTTTCTCATCACAGATTAAAGAACTATTTTTGTCTCCATCATGCCAAATATCTTGCGAGAAATAATACAGGTAGTCCTCAACTTAGGACAAATGAAGCCAAAATTTTGGTTGCTAAGCAAGATGTATGTTAAGTGAGTTCTGCCCCAGTTTATGACATTTTTTATTAGGTGAATCACTGCAGTTGCTGTTCCCTACTTTTT